CAAAGGTCATACAAGCTTAATAAAAATCAAATGATGCCAAAAAGTAAGCCACATGCAATGGTTTGTGCAGTGTGTAACTATGAACTGAAGTGCGATCCTCCAAACATATTTGGATTAATATGGCAGGAGTCTGTAGGCAAGGAACTTCCATGCCCATGTAAACCTATTGCATGGTTGCACAATGCAAAGTGACTTATAGGCAGGCCCTATAACCTCCGGTGCCAATTCAATGCATGTGTTTTGCATCGGACCCACTCACCCCCATTTGTTGCTGCAAGCCCTCTGAAAAAATGGTGTCATATTTGTGAGCAAGCTGAATAATATTCAAATACTGATTTTCAACTGAGGTTGTAGCAGTAAACTACAGCAGCAGCAGACGGAGGCACTAAATGCAGTGACTTACGTATCATATCTGCCACCTGGGGCAGATCGTTTCTGGCTGAAGCAATACACTGACCTCCCAGCATTGGTGGACAATGGCTGGTTGAAACAATACTATACCCCTTGCCCAGTACCGATGTTCTGTTGCTTTCTTACCTGAGCACACACTCCCGCATAGTCAGCTCTCTAACTGCTGGCTGGGACTGTACTTCTACTGTCAGGTGGAGATTGCTTTGCCTTACATTTCCAGCTTCTTTCAGTGTTGGGTGTTTCAGCACTGGGCACATCATAGCTTCTGCATGTGGATGGCAGCACCACAACGCCTTCTAAGTGATGGTACCAGGTGCGGATTGTCCCCCCTTCTGTCCAGAAGCCCTCAGAATCTGAGCACACAGAGCCAAGGAAAGCTCTACTAGGCTTCTTCGATATGTCACATACCCCAAAGCTGAGGGGAAGCCTGGGAGGGCTCTACTTTTACAGTCTGGTAGGTTTTTTTCACTATTCCACTCCATGCCTCTCTGCCTGGCCACTGTGGCGGTTTGGCCGGGTGTATGTTTGGGTGTTGGGGGAGTATGTCTGAATGCTGCACTCTATATCCAGGCATGTATATTAAATACACCTAAATGTTTTGTACAACTCTAATTCCAAAAAAGTTGGGACGCTGTGTAAAACCTACACAAAAACAGGATGCAATGATCTGCAAATCTCATAAACCCATATTTTTATTCACAATAGAAAGGCAGAGCCAGCTGTCAATCAACCATTGAACACTGACATTAGTCAGGTGCATGACATGGAACAATATTAAACAGCATCAAAGTTTACCACTATAAGAAAACAGGAAAATAGTTGAAAGTGACACTAAACTCAGTAGTTAAATCTTAAAAATGCATTCAGGTACCTTAACTATTAACAAAAATGTATCTTATTTGTGTATCATGGGCTGTAGATCCTCAAATGATCTCTAAACTCATGCTGACACTGTCCTTCCTTCTGGAGGGTGGCTACATTTGTTCCCCATGGGTCCTCTGTGTGTTGTAAAGTCGCCATGGCTCCAAGCTCACTCCTGGGATGGACTACAATCTCACGTTTAGTTTACTAATTTGTATTAAAATTGTAGTCTATCACAGGAGTGAGTTTGGAGCAGTGGCTACCTTACAACACGTCAAAAATGTGAAATCTGCGCTTATGGAAGGGTTAAGTGTTAAAGCTGCTGCGCTATAATTTTTAACGACAATGAAATAATGAGTGTACAATTTTTTCATATTTATATATCCCTGAAAAAGGGATTACACTTTACCCATTGTAGGGATTTTAGCACGTTAATAGATGTGTAACACATAAAACACCTACAGCGCTGCACACTCATTATTTCATTACCTTACAACACACACAGGGACCATGGGGAACAAAAGTAGCCACCCTCCAGAAGGAAGGACAGTGTCAGTATGAATTCAGAGATGATTTGAGGATCTACAGCTGAGTAATACAGAAATAAACTATAATTTTATTAATAGTTAGGGTACTCAAGTGCATTTTTAAGATTTAACTCCTGACTTTAATGTCACTTTAAACCAGGAAGAATACACTATTGTACAGCAGGTGACTTTATGTCCATATAGTCTTTGTACTCTTCAAGCTCGTTCCCTGTGCATGTTTTGGGTAAATTGTTTCAGATATCACCTTTCTAAATATGGAATATAGAAGCGGTTTCACCTCACCTTTTAATATTTACTTGCTCTAGCACATACTGGTGGGAAATATTACAAGGAAGGAGGACCTGCATGGCTTTACTTTTTCCTGTAGAGGAATATGTACAGTTCAGAAGAAACAGGTAAGAAGAGATAATGGGGGTCATCGTTCTCCTTTATTTCTAGTGTCTTATCATGGGAGTGCATCGGCCGGCATGGGAGCTGGCTTATGTCTAAATGTTAGTTCCTAATACAACTATCTGTAAAATGAAATCTTGTATCTAGCAATTATAGAGAGCTTCGATCTAATAATTTCATAGAGCCAAACCCAAAATAAACTAGGAAGGGATGGGGTGGAGTTCACAGCTGGGCACTGAATGACCTTGTTCCAGCTGATTGACTGATATTGCTGATGGGGGGCAGACACTAAAATGCTGCGGCTATTGTTAGGTACAGTTTTCACTGTTTGAGAACACAGCAGATGTGACTATTGACAGCCGTCATTGCGTTATTAACCTTGCCTGCTGAACTACAGGACTTCGCCTATCCCCCATTCCTCATGCATACATTGATTTCTTTCCCAGCAAAATAATACTGCTGCTTTGACTCCCAACAGCCTGCCCACCCACTGTGTGTAGGGAATGGGCTCACTGAATATGTAATTCTGGGGACTTGTCTACACCAATAGGAACTGAGCTTCCAGTAGGTACCTCCCAAGAATTCTTCAAGCTCTGTGATGGTGTCAATGGGAGCAATAAAAGCTGTTTCTTGCTACAGGAACAAAGTCAAGGTAAGGTAGAAAAAAATGCAGGGACATGCTCTAGAGGGGGAAGGGAAGGTCTGGAGGTAAAATTGGGTATTGTCTGGACATACACTTTGAAAGATTGGTGTCTTTTTAGCATTTTCCAAAAAATACACCCTTAGCCCTCCGTACCTTAATTTGTATAATGCACTTGTTTAGTGATGACATACCACACTAGCATATGACAAGGAAAAAGGGCCTATTCACACCATAGCATTAATCGCCCGGCTTTGTTATTGAATTACACACCACACCAGACGTATTATTACAAATATGCCATTTAGTGTCTTTTTTGGTCATGCAAGCTGGTTGACTATAAATTTCCCAGACTGCTATAACCACTTATACAGTCCTCCTCTCGAGTACATTGTATTACAGTTACCAGTGAATGCACAACAATTGTGATAACACATGACCATTTCAAATCTTTTATTGCCTCTCAGCAGCCTAGCATGGCCTGCTAGAGCTCTTTCCTCTAACACGTTTCACTTGTATAGAGCTTAGTCGAACTCTACACTTGGGCCATGCTAGGCTGCAGAAAGTCAAGAAAAGTTTTAAAGGGAGATTTCTTGCTCAGTTCCCACCACTGGCAGTGAACAAACACTGTTTAAAAATTGTATAAACATATTATATAGATCTAGTGTGTAGGTGTTCCAGGCATGTCTAAACCGAACAAGGCCCCCAAACTAAGAACACACTGGGGAAATTTTATTTCCAGATTTGCAATGGAACACTTTGTTATCCCCGTGGTCAGGTGAAGAAAAATCTGAACCTTTGTATAGACCAGTGGATGAAAGATTAGTTCTTAAGCATTTTGCTTTCCAAAGGACAAAATGAAACTGCAATCAACACCACCTTCTCCAGTGTTTATTTCAGCAAATATCTTGTAAATAAATCAGTTTACAATATAAAATAAAAACAAAAAAAAAGAGCTTGCCAGTGAAAATGAAAATTCTAATGTATTCTGTTGAAAAGAAGAGCACCATTTACACAGAATTCTTATTAGCCATTGGCTGCTGTGCGAAATTCCTATATGAAAAAAAATCAAACTACTACCGATTCACACATTCACACGAAGGAAAAAAAGTTTCACTATGGGTCAACCTTGCAAATATTGCTATAAAAATCGTTTCATTCTTACTTTGGCAGAACCATAAAAGCATTTTTTTAACAAGACAAGCTAATTTTAATTGCAGTGTTTTCACACTGTAATAGGAAATATCACCAAATCAAATACTTTACTGGGACTGATGGCATGAAACAAATACCTCAATTTTCATTATACCTTCTTCATCACCATTTTAGAGAAGGTCTTAAAGTGCTGGTAATTTTTGCCACTGCAAAAAGTAAAAATAAAAAGCATCCCTTTGGCACACAAAAGTATTTTTACAATCATATTTCAACTGCAGAAAAATAAAATGTGAAAGACAATGCAATTTAAATATGAAATGGTCAGACCACCCAAAAGTGATGTTTCAGAGTAACCTGTTGGCTTCTTATATATTTTTCTCTTCCAGCAGATAAATCTCCCTGCAATTGCTCGTTGTCCCACCTTGGAGCTTTGGGGTTCCTATCCACATTAATATGGAGTCCTACTTATCCTATTCATTCCCCACAATAAAAGTGTATTCAGGAATCCAACCAGGAGAGTGGGACCTCTTTATAAAGGCTATGGCAATTGTGCAGATGTAGGAACTAAAACATGCAGATCACCAGTGAAGTCCCCAGGTGATATAAAAGGCTTTTAAAACGTGCATCTTTACAGTACCTATCAAAACCTAAAACATTCATTTTGGGTGGACTAGCCATTTCAACTACAGGAGTAAAAATTAGTAGGATGTACTAAGTGGTAGTATACCCAATACAGAGTTTTGACCTTGGCTTTTATCCCCTTGCTGTAGGGAAGTTTATAAACTATTATAAGCCAATCTTCATGGACACTGAATGTGTACCTGTTCTACTTTCTTCTTAGGCACACAGGTACAGTAATTAATGGATTCTTTCAAATATTTCTCATTAACAACTGTTGGAATATATAGGATATTAGGGGCCCAATTTAGAATACACATACAAGTGCAACTAAATGGCCATGTTAAAATTATAACAATACTAAGCACATATGTAATATTGTTACCAACATGTTGCTTTAAAAAGATTGTTCATGTTTTTTTCTTAATAGATTAACTTGGTGGGGCATGCCTGCATAGAATTAAAGTAATTACTTCAAAAGGTAAATTAAGGTATAATATTATGGTGTCCAAAGCATATTTGATTGAATTCTGCAATAGTGCATATTAATTTTTTGTTGTGCAATCATTTCAGAGATGGCCATTGGTAGGACAAAGGCATTATATATACAGAAAGTCTTGTAAGTTCAAAACTATGTGCAAAAAATGTGTTTATTAAAATGGAGCAACATTGGGTATTAATGTCATTACCCATTGCTTCAAATTGAGGTTCTGAATATATTCCTGTTAATGTAACTGCACATCGGTAGATATGCCTACTGGGCTAACAACATATTAATGACTCACACCTTTCTTAGTGCTTACATTTTATGCCATTTACTTTTATTACCTAAAGCTTAGCCCAAAATAACTTAAAAATATTTAAAAAAAACCTTTATTTAACTACCACAATAACAAATTGAGTATTATGTTTAGAGCTACAGCCACACACAACCCCACCCTCAATGAAACAGCAATATGTAGATTTTTGTTAGAAAGTTTCTTTTCAGTCCTGCAGTCAGATACTGTTGCTGAATCACTTCAAGCTGGGAAGATCATGGCGGGCTTATATATCCTTCTTCTGAGGTGCACTTAGCTTTCTCATGCCTTGTATTCGAGACAAAAGCTGACTAATGAATTCCTGCAAAGCAAAAACAAATAATTCAAAGAAAAGCCAAGTTAGCAAACAATTACTTTTCTAAAAAAAAAAAGTATCCCTAAACCAATACCATGCATATAATTGTATCCTATGTGTGGTAATTACAAACAGGAACTGTTTCAGATACTAATAAAAGAAGTCAAAATTAGAGTGTCTGAAAGGGGCTGGGTAGGATGAAGTTTGAAAGGAAATACACTATATTGCCAAAAGTATTGGGACACCCCTCCAAATCATTGGATTCAGGTGTTCCAATCGCCTCCATGGCCATAGGTGTATAAAATCAAGCACCTAGGCATGCAGACTGCTTCTACAAACATTTGTGAAAGCATGGGTCGCTCTCAGGAGCTCAGTGAATTCAAGTCCATTCGTGAAATTCCCTTGCTACTAAATATTCCACGGTTAACTGTTAGTGGTACTAAAACACAGTGGAAGCAACTGGGAACAACAGCAACTCGCCAACGAAGCGGAAGGCCACATGCAGGAGAGCACATTGCGCAGAAGTCGCCAACTGTCTGCAGAGTCAATAACTATAGACCTCCAAACTTCGTGTGGCCTTCAGATTGGCACACAACAGTGCGTTGAGAGCCTTGGGGCAGCAGAGTAAATCCGGCCCTACTTACACCTTTATGATTCACTCCCAATTTCTTCCAGTTGTGCCATCACTGAGCATTAACACAACGAGTGATTTTCACTAAGAGAAATTAAAAGTGTAAACCCGAAACCATAAATTTATATATTCCAGTCTACCAGTTCTTAGCTGTGGTAGTTTTCTTTATTTCAGGCTTCCCCCAATCTTATTTTAACTTGGTATTCTTGCAAATAACACTTCCTGTCCCTGGGTGGCTACATTTACTCCTCCACTGTATCTACAAAAGAAGCCATGGCTGCCACCCAGGCTGGAGTACAAATATATCTGCCTTTGTTCATTAGGGCCTGTGTCAAAAGGCTTTTATTTTGCTTAAAGCGAGTTTTGCATCCCTACACAAGTCTATGGAAATGCAAATCCCACATACCGCAGGCTGAATGCAGGTTAGAAGTTCAACTGCAGGTCAACTGCACCTGCCAATGAATTCTGAATCATCTTAGGAGCATCTCAAGCTGATGCCACTGGCACAATCCCAAAGCTTAGCGACAGGGCCTTACATGGGGAATAGGATGTAGTTTGTAGTTCAGTTAAGGCTGGGCACTCACCTTGTAAGGTACTTAAAAAAACGTACGATCTGCCTATCTTGCATAGGCAGATCGTACTTGCGATGATCGCAAGCCACGCCCCCTGAGGGGCGGGCTTCCGATGACCACAATGCCGAACGGGCAGTGTGCGCTTGCGCACACCGGCCCGTCCGGCTTTTATCTTACGAACATGCTACAGACCCGCCGAACATCGTACGATGCTCGGCGGGTTTTGAAACATGTTCGTAAGTTTAAAGTCTTGCGACCTTACAGTAGTAGAGGTTGCACGGCTTCCACACACCTTACGATAATCGTACGATCGCTGGATTTCCCGCGATTATCGTACGATTATCGTAAGGTGTGTGGGGACCTTTAGAGACAGTGACAAGGTCACTGCATTGCAGACACAACTAACTGGTCATTTTTGTACTTGTAGAAAATGTTGTTCAGCTAAAAAAAATGAAAACTAATAGAGCCACAACATCTAAGGACTGGTAAACTGCAATATATTGCATTTTGTTCTTGGGTTTAGTTAGCTTATAAAGTATATCTCGAGAGAAAGCTGTAGTTGGATAGTGCACAGAATAGTTAAAACCTCTGTCATGTTATTTGTGCAATCTGTGTCCTAGTGGGCAGATAGTCCTTCATTCATGTCCTGTTGACATAACAGAGTAAGAGGAAATCTCTCCAAAGTGTATAGAATCCATTTTCACACAGCTGCCACCACAGAAAGAGTACTCATTTTATTTGAGGAATGACCCCACTATTCCTGTCCTGGTGACAACTCATACAGGGTTATTCACAAAAGGGTGAAGAGTGTGGAGAAGGCAGGAGAAGTGAACAATCTAGGACAAATTAGCTGATTTGGAAAAATTCTCCAATTCAGCTCACTTTCCAGTTCAGCTATGTTGTCCTAGATTGGTCACTTCTCCTGTCTTCTCCAAACTCTTCACCCTTTTTTGAATAACCCTGATTAATTTGGATTTTTCCCAGGACACCCAGACAAATTAAATATCTCTACTGGGGACACAGACAGCAAAAACAAAAACACTGACAGGGTTTTAAACCCCTTGCACTCTATCCAAAAAAAGTTTTGGCTTTAGGTGCACTTCAAATATCAGCTAACTCTCAGATCTGTATTGTTTTTCTTGCAATCACTGAAGGATTATTTACAAAACTGACACAGTTATCCATAGATTCCAATCAAATGTTCTCTTTCATATGAAGGAGACTGGTTACACTGGGTATCTGCTCCAGTTTCTTTGCACCTGTCTAATTTCCTCAATATAATGCTGGGACTATAGTAATTAAAGCTTTTCTCTAGATATTGCTCTTATATTTTTCATGATTTTTTTGTGTGTTAGGGTCAGCTTGATGAGTTTACTAGCCAAAGAAGCTAGGAATGCATTCTTTTCTTCTTTGATTGCTGTGTTGCAGGCCGGGTATATTTTATCACTTTATGATAATGCCAAGAGATGCATCATAAACTGAATTACTCAAACTCTTTTCCGTGAGCGCCTTGACATTCCACCATATAAATAGAACAGAGGTGATAAACACAAGTGGGTCTATGCATATTGTATTTAAGAACACATGCCCCTGTACACAATGTAACCAGCAGTTGCAGTTCTATAATGTCTTTAGGTTGCTTACAGAAAGGAAATGCATAATGTGCTCTTGTTTACTGTGGTCTGTATATCACATACTACAAAAATGATTATATAAATACAAAATAATATCAGTTGGTTCCTCAACTCAATTAAGAGCATGGCTTTATGGAGATTTATTGATACACGCTATAATTACACCTTTGGTGAAGCATTTCTTATATTGAGTTACAGTAATCGTATTTTTGCCGCATAGGGTTTAAATGTCAGAAGTCACAAACAACAGGTGTTAATACAAGATTAAACTTGGCGTCTTGAATTAAGAGCAGATACCAGATATGTTTTATCATTCCAGGACTGCCATGTTGACTATTGATTTGCTACTAAATGAGTCAATGCCCCTAAGTGTATGCAACCAGGGAAGTTAGGACTTCCCACCTGCATACTTTTTCCAGGCCAGTCAACTACCAGTTAGTGAACTAAGAATAAGTATGGCAGCCTAGAGTTTGCACCTTTAAATACAAGCTAGTATTGAAATACTCCCATATATCTATTCTGGCAGATATCTGAGTTCTCATTATTCACCTTATATTGGCAGGAACTCGTTACTCTTTGTAGATGCCTCACTGCTTTCTGCTACTATCAACACCAAGGAATCATTGTAGGATACAGAATACACAGATCCCTTTTTTTGCAGTATCCACACAGACAGGAATACCTGTGAGTAGGTTGAAATCAGTCCTGCCAAACACCACACACTTAATATGATTGCTTTAAAAGAAATCCTCAACGGATAAAATGCAACTGTTTCATTAATTAAAAGAAAAAGCAACTTAAGAAGGTGCATGTATGGTGGTACTTTTAGGCTCCCAAGCCAACAAGACCCAGATATGAATTAGATAGGTCTTCAAGACATGTTACAATTCCATGGAGCCAGTGTATACTGATGTGATGAAGAATCTTCTATTTTCTAACACTACATTTAACACCAAAGGTTAGAATTATGTATTTACCTACAGCAAGAGCATGTTAAGCTTCTTGCAGACACCAGAAGCTGGCAGCTTGTAATTGCTGACACTGGATCTTTGTTATTATGAGCTTTACAAATATCAAAGGCTGGCATTAAACCCTTTATTAACACCAGAGACCAAGAACATACAGGTCAATGAAACATTGCATTTAGTTTTAAAGACCTAAATTTAGCTTATGCCACACATTAAAATGGAGACAGCTTTGAGAGATATAAAGTAAAACTCCAGGCCAAGGAATGAATAAGAGATAACAAGCTCAGGTTTTAATCCTTGTCTGTGTTCTTGGTGTGGGGGTTCCCCTCATGTCCTTTCTTATCAGTGTTACAGGAAATTGAAGGGGTTAAAACTTCTCTTTCAGTATATAGTGCTGTCCATGTCCCTGTTGGGGAGATTTCGCCTGAATTTCTACCTAAGTAAAAGGTGTCCCCAAGGCAAAAATTAAGGAGATAAAGTTCAAAACAAAGACACTAACAGCAGCAAAGTGACAACAGTTCTAGCCCTTCCATACTCTTGTCAAAAAGGAAACATGTTTCCACTTTAATAACAACTTTGTTTTTTTCATATTTTAATGTTTTTACCTCATCAGTGATCTCCAATGCAAACATTTCTGTAAATGCAATTACTAAAAGCACCAGAACATGTGTACACTTACCAATTTATGGCAAGCACCTAATGCAGGACTTCCCTACAAACTGCAATCTAACTGTGCGATCTCTGTCCAATCTCCTTTAGATGGCCTGCTTGAACAAACAGATCCTTGCACTACTTAGATGTTGGCAGATCTAAAAGGAGATTGTACAATCAGATAGTAAAATGTATGGCCAGTTTTAGGGAGATACAATAATAAACTAGCACTGGAGCCTGTCCTAGCTCTTGCATACCAGTCAAATTACCGACAGCACAAAATGTGCCAAGTACACCTGCTGCAGTAAGGATTAGCAATATTCAAAACCAAGCTGTTGAAGGCCAGTGTAATTTACTCTCCATTTCACCATTATAGAAAGAAATATCAGTATTAGATTTTCAAATATCTATGTTAACACAATTGCTGGTTGTCAGCATGTTATGCATTACTGCTTTAGGCTGTCAGGAATATACTAGTATAGCAGTAAATCAGTACTGTAGCTAAAGAATGAAGACGAAATCTATTCAATTCAAGCATGTAAAGTGGGGGAAATGAAAAAGCTAGGAATACATGTGACTTAAGTCAGGTATACACGGTTTAATTTCTTTGTTGTCTGAAAGAAGAAAATAGAACAAATTCCTCCATTAACATTTAATAAATACCAGTAATAAATATAAATAATGAGCTTTGATCGAGGAATCTCCTGCTGTTTATTTTGTATTCTGACACTGACCACCGGCTGCATCAGAACACCTGAACAGAGCTGGCAGCTCATTGGATGCTAGCTCTATTTGGCTGACAAGTTTCCGACATGCTCCTTCGATCAGCTGAGGGATGCCGGTCAGAAAGGTACTCACGCATCGAATTTGATCTGGTTCATCAAGAAGCGTGTATAGCGTGTATACCAGGCTTTAATTTTTTTCCTGTGCCCGTGACCTGGTTAGTCCAACACTGACCATCTTCGTAGCTGCTGTTACTCCTGTAACCTAAATGTGAAAAGAGTCCTTTATAAAATGTTAAATCTTTCTAAACAGATGAATGGGTAGGAAGAAGACTTAAAAGGTTGAAGTGCCTCGCATAGTGTTTTTAGTGTTTTTAGCAAATAACCTCTTCCAATCCCTCCAGCAGTGGATACATCAAAGACTAAGTCACATGTATATTATATTATCTGGTACAAGTTACAGTTGAATATGAGTAGAGAAAGAAACCTTTACCTCTGTTGGTTTGTAGCATCCTACTAATGATTCCTGGAAAAAAAAACAACACAATACACACTTTTAATACTAGTATATAATAAAATATCACATTCATAAAGTATGTACATTAAAAAAATAAATACATCATAGCCAAATGTGAAAAAAAACCCTAAAAAGCTCCTTAAAGGTGAACCCAAGCCCGAGTAAAAGTTACCAGTGTACTTATGTAATGTCAGGTTATCAGCTTTTTTTATACAGACTGTTACAAAATAAATGGGATAATCCTGGTGGAGAGGATTTTGGAGAGCCAAAAGGAAATTTTTTTCCGGTACTCGCCGATACCAATTACTGAGTACCGGAAGTCCCATTCAGGAAGTCAAAAGGGCGTGTAATGACTCGCCACCTGGCTTCCAGATTAGTCGGGAAGTCGGGCAGCTTGTAAAGGCTCGCCACCCGGCTTCCCGATTAACAAGAAAGCCGTCCCATACGAATCCTCATATTAATAATCATATGATCAGTGCGGATCTGTGTCCCCTCTCACCTCGGCATGTCCAGCCTGTCACCCCCATGGCCACGGGTACCCAGCCGGAGCCGTCTTGCTGGCCAATCATGGAAGCCGGGCGCCGTGTAATGACGCGGCGCCCTGCTTTCTGATAGGCCGGCTCCATGCTCCCTCATCATGAGATGACGAGGGAGCATGAACCCTCGTGGACAATCAGAAAGCAGGGCGCCGCGTCATTACACGGCGCCCGGCTTCTATTATTAGCCGGCTTCCCAACCAATCGGTACTAGTAGCGCTATCGGTGCATCCCTAATTAGAACCCCTGTCAGTGCCCCTGCTAGGTAGATTCTGATCTTTATTTGCCCTGGTGACCACTGTCAAATGCAAAATTTTACAGCTGTTACCGGAACAAGAGAGGAAAGTAAATCTTCCAATGGGGGCACCTATTCCAGTGACAACTAGAGGGCAATTCCCCTCACTTTGTAGAGATTTTCTCCCATCTTCCTGTTGTGTCTTCAGAATAAGAAGTGAAGAGAAATCTTCTGAATGGTACAAAGACAGCAACAAATAACTGACAGGGGTTTTATCCCTTAGCTACTCAATACAAAACTATTTACATACACTTTAAGTGAACATAAAGGTCATATCCTCGAAAATACTGCTTCAATTATATACAGTAGAAGAACTACTAGCTATAGTTGAATTGTTCATATAAAGTACGGTACATGAAAAGATGCAGGCAAAAAACACAGAAGGGAAGTTCAGGTCCACCTGGAGTCCATGGCTAGCCTTTCAATACTCTGGGATATACACCCGGGAAATGTTGGTAGAATCCCGAGATGGGGCTGAGGGTGACCCCCCTGGGGTAAACCCGGGGCCGCATACCTCAGACAATGTGACAGAGGAGTAACCCAACTTCTACCCATCATTTCTTTCTCCTAGCTGCCCCCTTCTTGCCCACTCTTCACATATTCCCTTTCTGGTCTGTTCTTCACCTGGCTCGCTGGGCCATCTCTGACTTTTTCTCCCTGTTTTCGAACCCTCTCTATTCTTCTTTGCACTTCTCTGTTTACTTTCCCCATCCCTGAGGCCATGTACCACACACGATTTTCGAGTTACACAATACTAATCCGAAGACATTGTATTACACCGTGTGGCCTACGTGACACAGAACTCTAAAACTTCCCTTGTAACTCTTTCTCAACTGTTTGTAAGCAGATATGGGGATGCATATGCCCTCTTAACTTGTCTATGTAATACATGCCTTACATATATTGTGCAGCAATGGCCCGCTGCAATGACATAGGGCCTGATATGTTCACTTTTACGTTGTAGCACAATATCTACATGGTTCTAGATTTAATATGTGCATCTCTATAACTTTTGCTGTGCGACTGTTACATCGAGACTTTGTCTTTTGTATGCTTTTTTACGTTTTAGTAAAGACGTTTTGAATTGAAAAAAAAAGAAAAGATGCAGGCAGTCTTTTATTCTGGGATATCTTCTTCAGCAGATCTGACTTACAGACTGGCAAGTAAATTTTTGGGGAAACTGCCATATCTGAATGCAGAACAGCCTATTCATCATTAGGTTTGGCTTTCCTCATCACACATCACCACATTGGAGCAAGGAAAACCATTATAGCATAACAACTTCATTTTTTACAAAAACAAGAAAAGAAGGGTATATAAAAACACATTAATCAGGAAATTGCAACTAGAATAAAAATGAATTCCAGGCAGAAAAAACAAATAACCAAGAATCTTACAAAATCACAGTCTGTACCCAGTTACTTAAATCAGCTAAATACTTTCCTTCTAAAGACTGTCCAATGCAAGCAGAGTTGGACTCTAGTTCTCTGTGTGGAAGCCCAATACAGAGTCAAACAGATAGCTGTACAATCAGCAAAGCTCACACTCCCCAATGATTGGAGAGCTTTGGCTCTGATTCACTAGGTGTGTGACGGCCCTCTGCACAGAGATCACTGCTTCCCCATGGAGAGCAAGGGTCCATCTCTACAGGATGCCGGAAGAGACGTGGCTTATTTTTGAAGAAAACAAACTGCAAGACTATGCACACTTTTTGTTTTGACCTTTTGTTTAATTGGACTTTAATGCTATGTTGGCCAGCACTCACAAAAGTAGGATGTTCTCAGAGATAGGCTTTACTTGCTGCTGAAGGCCATTTTTACTCCTCTCCATCTCTTTTTTTCTATAGGTTGGACATAGGTAGGCAGATAACTCCAGATTAATGGGCAAGCAGATATTTAGATATTTGCACAACTCCAAACAGTACTAAGACTGCCATATTTGTGTAACACTGACAGTGGCACAGACAGAACTTCAGATTTGGGAGAAAAAATAAAGGATTAGGAGCCACTTGAAGGAAGAATTCAGTAGGCTGAAAAGCCTCCTTAGGTAGTAAATACAACCCCAGACTGTCTGATGTGCTAGTTAGTGACCTCTAGCAGAAATGGCCCAATACATGCAAATGATCAAAATCAGAAGCATCACTTTGTCAACACTGTGCACAGACAGCTTTACTTTTCTAGTGGCAGTACTTAATAAAAAATTATGTTTACGTACCCGTAGTTTAATAACTCGTTCTTCTTCACTGGATGCATCTAGAAGATCATCTATGTCTATTTCTACATCCGGCATTTCTTCTTCCTGAAAGAGGAAAAAAATTTAATTCAGCAGGATTCTTATTCAACCTTAAATTTACATCTATTATTTTGTGCAATCTGGTAATTTCTTCTACTCCCTTTTAATTCAATATCAGTATTTGTTATATAGTCTTTTATTTTTAAAGTAGTAGAACCCTACTGAAAATCAAAGCTACCCACAGACATATGGGTAGCTTTGATTGCTCATCAGACTTTACATACATCTTATGTATGAAAAATCTTGAAAAGATCACTCTATAAACAGTAATGATTGTAAAGTAAAAAAAAATAAGCATGGTACAGTGCTAGAAAACATTAAACCATTGCTTCAAGATATGGGAAAGACACATGTCTACTGTTCATGATCGTACACGTAGCTTAGGATGCTAAAACAGATTGCTCATTCAATGCAAAATGGCTTAAACTTCCAGATTAATTTTTGGGCAACGTTCATTTATGAAAGATCTTTTGTACAAATGTTCTTTTTCAAAGCGATGTGCAACTTCAGATTTATGACTATAGGTTGCCCGTGTGATTTACAAAGTCAAACACTCACCACATGTCAGTAGCTGGCAACCATTGATCAATGGAGCAATCCTAGAAGAAGTGCTTTCCTAGGTGCTCTTACCCTTGTGACTTCAGATCACATGGCCAACTGTAAGGTACACATTTCTCTGTTCTATGTGCTCTGTGTTACACTTTGTGTTATGTGTAAGTATAAATGCATGGGCAGGATAAAAATAATCTTCATTGTCCCCCTACACTCAGAGGTTTTCATTGTTAATAATTGGCTGATTCATCTATTCAATCAAATGTTTAAAAAAAAACAGCCTTTAGCCAAGACTTTTCACAAAACTTTTCATCTGTCAAATGGGAATACAAACAAAAGTCAACTGGTAGATCCCAACTAAGTCAATCAAACATTTTGTTTCATTTTAATGTCCTGCAGCTATCAGCTGGAATTACTCACTAAAAGCAGAGTATCCAGAGATGATCCAATTTATGGTAAACAAATAAAACCACCAACGCTGAAATTAAAAAGTGTTAAATATCTATTGTCTACATGAGTATAGTGTCAGATCAGAAGCCACAACACACAAGTGTTAAGCTGTTAATTGCTATATTAGCTTAGCATAGTAAAGGATGTACACCAGTCGGAACATAGGGCTTCACAAAATAAACTGCACGCAGTGACACTTTCAGGGCCGGTGCAAGGATTTTTGCCTACACAGCCCTAACATTCCATAAAGCAACACTCTAAAACTGATAGTGGATCTGGATATCCATGTTACAGGACAAACCAATTATCTCAGAACAGAAGCATTTAGAAAAAAAGGAAGACCATCAGCTACTAATAACACCCCAAATAGTTTACTGTGGAGCACCCCAGAAAGCATAACGAGGCAGCTCACACTAAACATATCCAGAATTTGGTAAAAGAATGACCATCATCTTCTGAAGCCCTATATGTAAAGCCACAGTGTCGGGTCCTGGTCCATGTGACACGGCAAGCCGAGCTCCGGTGCGGAGACGCAGGCGCGGTGGCACTGGCCAGTATCTCATCAAGTGGAAGGGCTACGGTATGGAAGAGAACTCCTGGGAGCCAGTGTCGGCAATCCATGCCCCACGGCTTATTCGACTCTTTTTGCGGAACAACCCAGACAAAGCCCGCTTGAAGGGCACCCGGAGGCTGCCCCTTAGAGGGGGAGCCATGTCAGGTCTCGGTCCGTGTGACACAGCGAGGGGGGCGTCCACCGGCGAATCCAGACTGCGCAGTCGCCAGAAGGCCCGGCGGCACTCGCCCCGTACGGCGTGACATCATCTTGCTGATACGGGCCGATGACGTCATCACGCCGGTGCATGCGCAGTGACGCATCCCCAGCCTATGTAAAGCACCACAGGACGCTGATTCAATGCTGAGTGATCTTCAGCCTCTGTTGGTTGTCCCTGCCTTGCTCCTGTTCCTGAACTTGATCCTGAACTTGATTGACCCGGTTTTCCTCTCAGACGCTCCACTTGGATTACCCTCTGTATCTTGCTGCCCGCCTGTTATCGACCTGGCTTGTCTCTGACGCTCCACTTGGATTACCCTCTGTACCTTGCTGCCCGCCTGTTATCGACCCGGCTTGTCTCCTGATTTTACGAGATTGGATTACGGCACCCCTGCACCCCCTGCCTGGGCACACTGTCCTCAACCCCAGTGATCAACAGACGGGGTTGCAAGGGAGGTCCTCCTCGTCACCTCGGGCACACACCACAACCCTAACACACAGGCATTGACACCCCACGTCTATTACCATGGAGAATCCCAATACAAGGACACCCCCATAGATCTTCACTAAAGATAGCATAACTAACAGCACTGACCGCCAATGTAACAAAAGTATTTACACTGACCGCCAATATAACAAAAGTATTCACAATGACCACCAATGTAACGAAAGTATTCACAGTGACCGCCAATATAACAGAGGTATACACCATACACGCATGTAAACCTGCAAAAACGACGATTGCACCCATTACGCCGCACATGTTACATATCTCTGCGAACGTCGCAGTGAGAGCAATAATGTTAGGGCCATCAATCACTGATAACACGAAACTGATGAGCTGTAAAAGCTTTTAAAGCGTCGCCTATGGCCAATTTTGGGTATGCTAGTTTTTTGCGATTTCGTGAGTGCGCGCAATTTTTAAGCTCGACATATTTGGTGTCTATTTACCCGACATGACCCCATCTTTTATATTTTACCAAAAAAGTGGGTAATATTAGTTGTTTTATAGCATAATGTTGAAAAAAACTTTTTTTTTCAAACTTTTCAGTAATTTCTCCTGAATATAGTAAAAAATAAAAACCGTAGTGGTGATTAAATACCACCAAAAGAAAGCTCTATCTGTCCCCCACAAAATGGTATAAAATTAATTTCAGTACAGCGTTGCATGACGGAATAAATGTCAATCAAAGTACCACAGCGATGAATACTGAAAAATGGTATGGCCAGGAAAGGGGTCTAAACACCTGGTCTTCAAGCGGTTAAGCCTTGCAGTGGGGCTACACCCATACTACAAGGGTTAACTGCTCATTTTTGTCTAAGTGTTAAAAAAAAAGTTATACTCCCCCAACAGCTGCTCATGGCTGTTTAAATACCAGCGTTCCGGCATCTGCAGAGACGCCTGATCACTTGTATTTTGTGCGGGTTTGAGCCCCCCAAGCCGCTGCCGGTCCCGAGATCCGCTGTGCCCAGTGCGGGCGGGGACTCTGGAGATCAGAGGGAGATCAGTACACGATCTTCCTTCAATCTCTTCTCTGTTCTGTGAATGCAGAAAGTGATGTACATTACATCACTCCTGCTTTCAGCTGTCATTCCCAGCTACATAAGCTGGGGAGAAGCTGGTGAAGCAGATCTCTGCTTCATCAGCTTCTTTAGGGGTCCGTACGTGATATTAGGGGTCTTAGAGACGCCTGATGTCTCCATAAAGAGGACCTGTATATTGGCTATCAAATAGGGGGATTCTTAGCCCCCTATGTGATAGCAATAAAATTAAGTGTAAAAAAAGTTTTAAAAAATTAAAGCATAAATAAAAATAAAATCACAATTGAAATTTTTTTTTAAAAACAACAAAAAATGTCAAAATCCCCTGCCCTCACATACACACTCAAACATGCGTCGGGTGCACCTATATGCAAAAACGACGATTGCCTCCATTATGCCGTGCACATTACATATGATCACTATTAACACTAAACTGATGAGCGGTAAATGCTTTTATAAAGCGTTGCCTATGGCCAATTTTAGGTGTGGTAGTTCTTTGCAATTTTAAGACTTGACATGTTTGGTGTCTATTTACCCAACGTGACCCATTTTAAAAAATATTTAACCAAAAATTGGGGTAATAATAAATGTTTCATAACATTATGTAGGGAATTGTTTTTTTGTAACATTTTCGCCACTTTTTTATAATTATATAGTAAAAAAATTAAAAAAAAACCAGTGGTGATTAAATACCACCAATAGAAAGCTCTATCTGTCCCTAAACATTTTTATAAAATTAATTTCAGTACATACGGAATAAATGTCAGTCAAAGTACTGCAGCGCTGAATACTGAATAATGGCCTGGACAGGAAGGGGGTTTAACACTCAAGTGGTCAATCGGGAGTTAGGGTGATTAGCTATTATACCTGCTACATCGTAGTGAGTATAAGGTGGCAGCAAGTATAAAGTTATCACAAGTGGCTGGCTTGTGAGTAGGAATGCCGATACTCGTACTCTCCCAAATGCTCCGATACTTACCCCCAATGCCAGCTTTACTTATTGCTAGGCAGCCTGGCTTCCTGATTGGTCAATAAGCCAGGCTGCCTACCAATAAGTGAAGCCGGCTTCCTAGCCAATCAGGAAGCAGGGTGGCACGTCATGATCCGCCTCCCGGCTTCCTGATTGGCTGGGAAGCCGGCTTAACCTATTGCTAAGCAGCTTGGCTTCCTGTCATGATTGGTCAGGAAGCCAGGCTTCCTCTCATCACAAAGCCGGCTTCCTAGCCCATCAGGAAGCCGGGAGGCGGGTCATGACGTGCCACCTGGCTTACTGATTGACTAGGAAGCCGGCTTCACTTGTTGCCAGGCTGCCTTGCAGCATCTCGCAATAATCTGAATGCGGGTATCGGGTATTGGCGAGTACTGAAAAAAAAATATTGGTGTTCAATACCGTAAAACTGGTATTGGTCCACCCCTTCTAGTGAGAGACCCAGACTCCTGGCACTTCTTTGCAGAACACTCTGCTATCCAACAGAGAACAGGCTCGTACACATGTTTTTGCAAAGAACAAACACTGCTTTCACAAATAGTTGAAAGATTAGCTAAACCAGTTACTTCCGTACAGACATAGAACAGGTGTGCACGATGTCAAAAATATTTGCATTGCAATTACTGCTGTCATATAATGAAAGTGTATGGCACGGGTAGGCAACCTTGGCACTCACGTTGTGGTGAAACTGCAAATTCTATC